GTGAATCACAGCAGGTTTTCTACATGCTTCTGCCATGATGATCTGTCTCACTTCATGAAATCCGCTGACCATAGCTACACCTTTAAAACTGTGAGCCCAAATAAACTTTTCCTCCTCTAAGTTGTTCTTGTCAGGTATTGTGGACACGGCAACAAAGAGCCTAATTAATAAAATACCCTGTGAGAATCTCCCTGTGTTAAATGTGCAGTGGAGAAGAGCAGACCCCAATGTCTAGTCTCTGGCAGATGGATGCCCAGGAGGAGGGGGAAGGAGCTGCCCCCAGCACTGGATTCCTCCTCCCAGATATTCCAGCAAGGCCCCATTGTTCTCCTGTGTGGTAGGTCTTGGGAGGGGCTGAGCACATTCCTGAGTGCCACCCTGAGGAACTTTCTCCATGTCCTTGAGGAATGTGGGAAAATGCTCCTGCCAGCCAGTGGCCCAAGGCTCACTTTATTCTAATCATAGCACAGTCAGATTGGCTCCAAGGATAGGATGAGCAGCTAGAGCCCCACAAAGCATTTCCTCCTTTGAAAAATCTATGAGGGAAACAAGAGAAAAGAAAAGCCAAGTATGTCATCGGCTGAGCTGGCAAATATGGGGTCTTTCCTGGGACCAGGTGTATGAACGGGTGTGGTGGTTCTTATATCCCACTGTGACCCAGCCACAGGGGTGGAGAGTGGGGGATGGGAAGAGCTATTCAAAATCCTCATTCCTGGAACCCAGCAAGAGTCTCTGAAAGTGAAGCCCAGAAATCTGTGGATTTTTACATATTCCACCCGTGACTGTTCTATAGGGACCAAATATCGGACCCTGACATTTGGAGCTGTAGACTTAGGATACTATTTGGGGATTGATAGTCAATTCTAGATATTCTATCATGTCATCTGAACATAGAAATAATTTTACTTCTTTACAAATTTTTATACTTCTGATTTCTGTATCATGTTTAATTGCATTGTAAGTATGTCCAGGACAGTCTTGAGTAATAGAGGAGATAATAATTTTATCCTGAACTGTCTGTCTCTTAAAAGAAATGCCTATAGTGTTTCTTGATTAGGAGAGTGGTTATGAGACTCACATGAGAACGAGATATCTATCCAGCCATCTAACCATCCATCCACACAGATACATAAATTCATACTGAGAATGTATCTTTACATTTCTATTTGCTCAACATTTTTAAAACCAAGAATGGATATTGAATTTTGTCAAAAGTTCTTCTAGTAGCTGTGAAACTAATCATGACTTTCTCCCCTTAAGTCTATTAATATTGTGCGTGATGTTAGTGGATTTCCTAAGGTTGAGCCACTTTGCATTCCTGGAATAAATCCCACTTGCTCATAGTGATGTTTGGTGACTCCAGTCACTGATCAGGAGTTGTGGGCCAAGGGCCAAGGTCCAGCTTTTGCCTGCTTCAGCATATCTGTGCCATCACTCAGAGGTGTCCTGAGTAGTAGGTCTCCTCTAACCAACCAGGAAACAGTAGTAGGCTACTGGTATCTGTGTGGCTATATGGAATAAGACATGATTTGTAACTTTAATTATCAATATATATGATGTGTTTCTCCATTTGTATTTTAAAAAATTGCTTATTGTGGTTAAAATACTTAGAACAAAATTTATCATGTTATCCATATGTAAGTGTACATTCCAGTGTTATTAAATGCATTCATAATGTTTTGCCACCATCTCCAATATCAATCTCCATGATCTTTTTTATCTTATAAAACTGAAACTCTGTATCAATTAAAAAATAATTCCCCCTTCCCTCCTCCCCTCTGTCCTTTGGCAACCAACACTCCACTTTGATGGCTGAATTATTTATATATATATAGATGCGCCATGTATTGATCATCCATTTGATGTTCACTTTGCCTGCTTCCACATTTTAGCTCTTGTAAATATGCTGAAGAAATGTCTCCATCAGAAAACTTCTTTTGGGACTATAATATTAGGTTGAATCATTTGAAATTATTTTTTTGTGGGCCCAAAATAGTGAAATATCTATAATTTCATTTGGCTCAATCAAATATTTCTGAAACCATCCTTATTAGTGTACAGATCACATTCCATGTCCAGGCTTCCTGCAGAGTATAACCCTCAGAAAGCGAGTCACTTCTTTTCATTCACAATTTTTGCAGAATGGCCCAGCTAGAAGGTTCAAATCTTTATGTTCATAGGGACAGAAATGACTGTTTACTCACTGTGTTCCTCAGAATCCCATTTCTATTGTTGTTTTAACATATGTCCACCATCCTTTGCTACCTGTCCCTTCCAAAGGTGCAGCTGCCCATGAGTGTGAGCTACATTTTGTGCCTTACTTCTTAGGAGTAGAACATGGCAGAAGCGATGGTGTACTACTTTGTAGATTAGGTGATAAAAGACATTGTGGTTTCTGCCTTGGCATCTCTTGAATCTCTTGCTCTGGTGGAAGTCAGCTGCCATGTTGGGAGGATACTCAAACAATCTGAGGAGACTCTGGTGGAAGTCAGCTGCCATATTGGGAGGACACTCAAGCAGTCTGAAGAGAGAGACTTTTGTGAGGAACAAAGCCCCCTGCCTACAACCCGTGAGGAAGGAAGGCCTGTGCTAAATGCTCTATGAGCAAGCCATTGGAAGCATATCTTCCTGTTGGTCACCCTTCAAATGACTGTAGTCTTGGCCCACAAGACAGGGTTGTCTGGGTGGTTCTAGCTCAGGGTCTCTCATGAGTTATGAGATTCTTGAAGATTCATTTTCCTTCAAGGCTCAGTTCCTAGTATTTCCTATAGGGTCATGGGCACTGTGCTGAAGCTCAAGAACTAAATGAGGTGTTCTTGTCCTCCAGGAGCTTCCAGCTATAGAGGCAACCTAGTCAATAAATAATAAATGATGACTTGGGCTGGGATTGTGGCTCAGTGGTAGAGTGCTCTACTAGCACGAGCAGGACCTGGGTTGGATCCTTAGTACCACATAAAAATAAAGGCATTGTGCTGTGTCCATCTACACCTAAAAAATAAATAAAAATTAAATGTTAAAAAAAATTAAAAAATAAATAATAATGAGTAAATATAAATGGGTTAAAATTGAAGGTATTTAAAAAGTGATTTGGTTTTATCTGCATAGAATTTTGGGAAAATAAAAGCCAGGCAGATCTCTGGTATTTTTTTTTTTCTCTGCTGGAGACTAAACCCAGGGCCTTACACATGTTAGGCAAGCTGTCCCTCTGAGGTACATCCCCAATCCTTTAAATTTTTTTGTAAATGTTGAGAACAGGGGGTTTCTTAGTTATCCAGGCTGGCCTTGAACTTGTGATCCTCCTGCCTCAATCTCTTGAGTAGCTGGGATTACAGGGTGCACCCCCACCCCCACCTAAGCCTATTTTTTGTATTGCTCTGTGAAAGGGCAAGGCAAGCACAATCTCTTTGTGGCCTGACGCCTGTTACCCAGGGTGTTCTGTCTGTGACTCTTTGCTTGACTCTGATTTGACAAGTTGGCCTTTTCAAAGCCAAGTAATTATGAATCATATTAAACTGGGAGTTTGCTCTCTTTTCTAAGCCAAACTGAATACGGAACAAATTCCTCTCTTTTTCCCAGAACTAATCAGAACTTCATGGGGCTGTTATCACACACATAGTATGCTTAGTCACAGAGTGAAAATCCTTGATTCCTTGGAGAACTAGGCCAAGGGAGATTTACCAAACTCACCCACAACTGCCGCTCCGCCTCTCGGAGTCTCCCACCTGAGCTGGGGCTCCAGGCTGGCCTGAAGTCTTCTGTAGGATCGGAGTCATTGCTTCTTGGCTTCTTCCATTCCTTTTTTGGTGTGTGTACTTCTCAAAGGCTGAAGAGTCCACACAGATTTCCCCAGAGCTCCCACCCTTTGGTTCTGGTTTGTTCTGTGGAACTTCTCAGAAGCCCTCTCAGCCTCTTTCCAGGACATTCCTGCATCTGGCAAAGCCCAGCTCTCCTGGCCTCCCCATCCTCCAAGCTGAATGCGCTCGGGCTCTTTCCTGGGTCTCATACAGATGAGTCAGAGACAGCCAGTGGCAGAGCTAGGATGCACGGATTTCTCACTTTAAGCCCGTCTTCTTACTCCTCAACCATTCTGCACTCCCTCTACTGATAAATATTTCAGTGTGGTTCATTTTCCCATTTTCTCCTTGCAATTTGGAAAACATTTTGTACAGTACTTTGTGGTTTAATTATTTTCATAGACCTCATGATATCTGTGAGGCAGGTCTTATTATTTCTATTTGATGTAAGTGGAGATGGAGATAGACTCCAAGAGGCTTAGGGAGTGGCTGGAGGGTCTTTACAAGGTCCTACCTCTCGGTGTGGTCCCAATCAGCAGAGGTACCTCTCAGCAGAGGTACCTCTCTGGGTATGTGAGATATGCATGTTCTCACCAAAGAACTATGAAGTCAGAAACTCTGAAGTAAAGCCCTCCCAGTGATTTGGGTGCACAATCCCCTGAGAACCATGTCCTTGGTCAAGGGCAAGTTATCTGGGAGTTTGTTAGATTAAAAAAATTAAACCAAAACATTGATCTGTAGTATATTTAGACTCTTCTTCAAAATCCAAACTCCTCACTTGGACTCTTAGAAGAAGCTATTTTCATCATCCAAACAGAATGAGTCACTGGCCAAGGTTGGTTGTAGGTGAACACAAATGTTTTTGGCTTTCTGTCACTATAATGAAATACCTGAGTTAATCAATGTAAAGAAAAAGTTTCAGTTTGGCTCACAGTTTGGAAGATTCCAGCCTGTGATTGATTGGCCCTATTATTTTGGGCCCGTAGCAAGGCAGCACATTGTGGCAGGAGTGCCTGGTGGACACAACTGCTCACTTCATGTCTAGGAAGCAAGAGAGAGAACAAGGAGGGGGCTGGGGTCTCACAGTCCCCAGTGACCTAAAGACCTCCCACTAAGCCCCGCCTCTTAAAGGTTCCAACACCTCCCAAGAGCGCCACCCTAAGGACATTACAGATCCAGCTACTTATCATCCTTTGTCTTTTGTAGATCTCATTGCAGGAAAGAAGAAGGATAAACAATCCTCTCTGTTCCACAGAGCTGTCACTGAGCTGTCACTGACTACTGTAGATAAGGAGAGTCTTCATGGAACAGTTAGTCAAGGTAATAATCCATACAGCCTAAGCTAAGTAGTTCCTCGAGTGCAGAAGACTCTATTAGTTTACCTGAATAGATGTCAGCTCATTTTTCATTCTCCTGCAAGTTAAGACTAGAAATTAGGGCTGGGGGATGTAGGTCCCTGATAGATAGAGTGCTTTCTTGGGATGCCTGAGGCCCTGGGTTCTATCCCAGCTCTGCAGGAAAAATAAAAAATGAAAAACTAACACAACTAAGAATTAAATGAACTCTAGGAATTTGGCCACTCTTTTATAAAGAGGTCACTTTTATTTTGTTTCTATTCAGAGCATGGACATGGTCTTCTGAGCCCCTGCCCCTGCTGAGCTCTGAGGCTATCTGAAATGCAGGAGGGATTGAGGGGCACAGGTTGGCCTTGTCCCTAAAATACCTGGCTCCTTCCTCCCTCCTGAAGCAGCTGAGCTCAGGCCTGTTCAGAGTGGGGAGAGACTTGCACACCCCAGCACACAGCTGTTCTCTATCAGAATTATGCCCAGTGTCCCTTTGTCTCTTAGAAATTGAATGCTGGCTGGGCGCAGTGGCACACACCTATAATCCCAGCAGCTCGGGAGGCTGAGGCAGGAGGATCGAGAGTTCAAAGCCAGCCTCAGCAACAGTGAGGTGCTAAGCAACTCAGTGAGACCCTGTCTCTAAAGAAAACACAAAGTAGGGCTGGAGATGGAGCTCAGTGATTGAGTGACCCTGAGTTCAATCGCTGGTACCAGAAAAAATAAATCGATGCTGAACGATTCCCAGAGAGCCCTTAGAGTGGCTCATCTGCTGCCTCCTGACCGAGCAGAGGTGAAGGTTCTGGATGTGCCCAGTTTTCTCCATGTAACCCAGGAAAGCCGAGGCCAGCACACTCCTGCCCACATCCCCCCACCATGGCACTCAGCATCTGTCCACACTGCACCAGCTGATTCTTGTCCTGGTACTTCTATGGCCCATTTCCCTGATTCTTCTTTCTTTTTCGGCCACATTACAAATTAGGTGCCAGACGCTCCAGAAGTCCCTGCTGTTAGAGGGACCTCCTTCCCTGGAGATCTGGCTAAGATGGCCGAGTTCCCCTGAACCCACACTCGGAGGCTTGATGGTGGTCCCGATCCACCCTCAGCATTTCTCTTAGACCCGAGCAGGTCCCAGGAGCTCAGGACCACCTCCTGTCTTTGGCATTGTGTCTGCCTCAAGTTGACTAAGGAACGAACCTCCCCACTGTGTACTTACAAGGCAGGTTGTGTATGGAGCAGTTTCCAGAACCGGCAGCGCAGGGAGGAGAGGGCTGCAGAGAGTAGGTTTCAGCCCTGCCCTGTGAAAAGCTTCAAACTGAATATTTTCCTCCCTTTTTATTTATTTATTTATTTATTTTTGGTACCAGGGATTGAACCCAGGGGCACTTAACCACTGAGTCACATCCCCAGCCCTTTTTTGTATTTTATTTAGAGATGCATCTTGCTGAGTTGCTTATGCCCTCACTTAGTTGCTGAGTCTGGCCTTGAAGCTGTGATCCTCCTACCTCAGCCTCCTGAGTTGCTGGGATTACAGGCATGTACCACTGTGCCCGGCTCCTGCCTCCATATTAAAAAAAAACTTTTTTTTTTTTTTTATGGTGCTGGGGATGGAACCCAGGCCCTGGCTCATGCTAGGCAAGTGCTCTACCACTGAGCTCCCTCTCAGCCCTAACCTCAGGTGTTCTTAAAAGCCTTTGCAGTAGGGCTACTTCACCTCCTGCAGTGCTCCAGCCTCCTCTCCTCCTTGGAACTCACTTCTGTTCTCACCTCCTCATTTCTGGCTGCTTTTTTGTTCGCCAACCAATATCCTCAGCCCCTCATCTCACCACCAGATCATGTGCAAGTGTCTTTCCCTAAACAAAGCCAGTTCCTTCCCGGACAGGATTTCTGGCCCTGGCGACCGACATGCTGGTATTTTAACTTCTGCTCTGGGTGAGCTGCCAGGTTGTCCCTGCGGATCAGGTCCTGGGTGTGGGTTGCCCTCTTGGTGTACTCTGCTCCTGTCTTCTCCTTTAGAGGCTCGCGACAGGAACCTGCCGTGCGGGCCACTTCTGCACTTCCTGCAGAAGAACATCATCGTTGCGGCCCTCGCAGCAGTGGCGATCCTCGCGGTCATCGTGCTGTTGCTGCTCATGTTGGCCACGTACATCAGGAGGAAACAGCCTCTGTGAGTGCTCCGTGAACTCAGGGGTGTGTGACCACGCTGTCCTGGAGCTCCCTGCAGTGCCAGATTTGGGAGGAGGGCGGGAAGCCTGGTTTTGCACACAGAACCCCGGCTTCCTGCGTTTAGCCACTGCCTGGGTGAGTCTGATGTACACACGCAGGCGCTGGGACATCTGGCTGGGACTGTGCTTGCTAGACCTACTCCATCTTGAGGGCTACTGAAAGAGGAGATGGTGTAGACACAGACTGGGCAATCGGGAGCTAGGAGTGTGGATGCAGACAAGAAAGACAAAGTCCAAGCTGGGTGTGGTGGTGCACACCTGCAATCCCAGCGCCTTGGGAGGCTGAGGCTGGACGATCCTGAGTTCAAAGCCAACCTCAGCAAAAGCAAGGCCCTAAGCAACTCAGTGAGACCCTGTCTCTAAATAAAATACAAAATAGGGCTGGGGACGTGGCTCAGTGGCTGAGTGCCCCTGAGTTCAATCCCTGGTACCAAAAAAGAAAAAAAAAAAAAACCCACAAAGTCCAGTTTATAAGAGGGTGGGGGAGATGGAGCCTTGGAGGAGAGATGGAATTCGGCTCTTTCACCCTGGAACAGCTGCACTGGTTGTGAGAATGTTGCTAAATACTCACTTCTGGAACCTCCCATAGGCTTCCCCACCATCCGCTAAGTGGAGGGTTGGTACCTGTACAGCACTGGACTTGGGAGGCAAGACTCCAACAGTGGTTATTCTGACTGTCCCTGGATAATGACCCAAGCAAGCATGGAGACTTGAACAGGCACTAGGAAGCAAATAGGTTACAAGATGTGCATAACTGCATGTGCATAGTTACCTTCAAAATTATGAGTCTCTCTCGGCAGCTAGGGAGAGGTGCATTCCTGGGCATGGAGGGGAGAGCATCTCCTCAAGGCCCCTCACTGTTGTTTGTTCAGGTTGTCTCCAGAGAACAGGGGATGTGTGATGAGGGATAGGTCCATCAGTATCTAAGTTTCCCCACAAGGGGGCAGTGCTTTCCCTACATGCCAGGGCCCTGGAGCCTGGTAACCTACTGGGGACACCACTACCACCTCACATCCTCCTCTGAGACCTGAGTGGGTCCCTCAAGCAAAGGGGCGACCTTGAACGTGGTGGAGGTTAGAGGTAGAGGATGTAAGAGCTTCTGGGCACAGGCCTGACCCTTGCTGCAATTCTATCCAGGACTCATTCATCAGACCTGCTGTTGCCCCCCCCCCCCCCCCGCCCCATTCCTTGAGGTACCAAAATGAGCCAGGATGGTGGCTCCAACTACAGAAAGGAGTTACTGCTTGTGGGTGGCAGATGTCAAAATGGGGCCCTGGGAATCCTATACATGTCCAGCGGCGCTGAGAGGAAGCAGGACCCTGGCCTCTCAGGAACATTGGCTTCTGTCCCGTCCAGGCAACAGACAGTGGGAATCCCTGCACAGTCAGTGAGCAGCGTGGTGTATTTTGTTGTGGTTGTTCTTTTGTTTTAGACATCCTCCAGCCAATATGACATACAACATTTTTATAATGAATGGAAAGACGTGGTGGCAAAAGTCCCCAGAAGCGGATATCAGAAAAATCTTAGAAAAACAGAAACAGTTGAGGCCCGATTCCTGTGCCTAAGCCACGTCAAGGGGCCAGCCAAACCAGGACTCAGAACCGTGCCGCGAGGAGATTCTGGATCCAGACACCATGGAGAGGCCACTGCATTTCTGGCTGCGGGGTGTATTCTACAGAAATGTTTACCTTCTCTTCCCGACCTTGGATGTACCGAGAAAGAGGGCCTCCTCACCCCGGGCTGCCTCTGGTGACATGGCCTTATGACAAGTGCAGGAGACTTAGCACATTTACCCAGAGGAAAAAAAAAATGACAAATGTTGAGAGATTTACTCATTTCATAAAGCACGGATTGATTTGTCCAGTCATTCATTGCAGAGGGATTAATTGAGCACCTATTAGGTAGACAACATCAAAATACAACAGGGTACTCACAGAGAAGCCAGGTCTGGGGCCTTCACAGTCGTGGAGGAGAACAGGGCCCCACCAAATCCCTTTTACCCTTTTCAAATAGAAATATACAAAGAAATGGAGAAGAGTGTGGCAATGCCTGGGGGGGGGGGGTTATAGTTCCTGCTTGGAAAAGGAAATGGGGCTATTGGAAGTGTAATGAGGGTCAGGACAGTGAGGGAAAAGCAACAGAGACTTGGGAAGAACCTGGAGTGAGCTACAGAGGGGAGCTCTGAGCCTCAGGATAGGAACACAGCAGCAAGAGACGCCCCAGGGGGCCTCTGACGGCTGCCGCCTTCAGTGAAAGAGCGCGGGCAAATCTTAGCCACCCCATAGGAAGAGACTGGGGGCTCAGCCCTGGCACTGGTGCTGCTCCTGCCCTTTGACCCCCAAGTGACTTTCACTGGCCAAGCCCAGCAGGAAGCTAGAAGGCCGGGAGGTCACTGTGCGTGCGGTTCATCAACCTCCCAGGGCGCACAGCAGGGTCGGAAGGAGGGTGAACCCAAAATATCCAGTGCTGTCTAACACTTTGCTCCATCAGCGTCCATTTTTCCCCCTTTGGGTACCAGGGATTGAACCCAGGAGCGCTTAACCACCGGGCCACATCCCCAGCCCTTTTTATATTTCATTTAGAGGCAGGGTCTCCCTGAGTTGCTTAGGGCCTCACTAAGTTGCTGAGGCTGGCTTTGAACTCACGATCCTCCTGCCTCAGCCTCCTGAACCGCTGGGATTACCGGCATGCGCCACCATGCCCGGTTCAACATCCATTTTTTGTCTTTTTTAATGAATGAAGATTCCAAACTCCACCCTGCCACGTGGGTGACACAAAGTCCCTAGAGCCGTATGCCACTGAAGCATGGTGTCAGTCTGGTCATGGTTCCACTGAGATGTAGAACATTGATCATTATAGTGTTCTTGAAAGAAGGAATTGGGGGGAAAAAAGGGGCGAGAGAGAAAATAGCAGTGACAGTCTCTGCAGGGGTAACTGGCCACAGCTTCCCCTCCTCCTGCCCACCTCACTTACTCGGTCTCTCAGCACCTCGGCCACATGGGTTTCATTTCCTGGTGGAATGTTCCAGCCACCCATGTCTGTCCCTCCTTAGCGGATCTCGCTTTGGTTTCCTGCAGTTTGCACTGAAAAGGACCCTTGATATGGGACTCCTGGCTGTCTCCGAGTGACCTCTGGGTCGTAGATTACCCTCCTGGTTGTGTTCAAAGAACAGCACCCCGTTTCCCCTTGGTGAGCAGGCCCATCCCTCCAGCCAACACAGAGAGCTCCGCTGGGCCTCATGCGGCAATGAGACGAGGAGCAGCAAATAACTAGGGTGGGTTTCATCAAGTGATTCAATGGAAACTTTCCCTCCATGGCAAAGTAGAACACTTTATTTTAGCATTAAAATCTAGCACCTAAGCAATAGGTTATTTTTTGATTTTTTTTTTTAGATATGACAGGTTTGTGTTGACATGTATGTACATGGAGTATATCTTTTTTTTTTTTTTAGAGAGAGAATTTTTTAATTTTTAGTTTTTGGTGGACACAACATCTTTATTTTATGTGGTACTGAGGATCGAACCCAGCGCCCTGTGCACGCCAGGCGAGCGCGTTACCGCTTGAGCCACATCCCCAGCCCTACATGGAGTATATCTTACTCTGATTAGGACTCCGTCTGTGGTTGTCCGTGATCTGCCGTAACCCTGGTCATGTATTCCTCTATGAACTAGAAAAGGTGTCCCCTCATTCCTCTGTCTTTCCTTCGTCCACTGCCCTGGCTTCCTTTTATCTCCCTTTGTCTAATCCAATGAGCTTTTATTCTTCCCCCCACCCACCCCCACTATGTGTTAGTATCTGCAGAGAGAATATTCGGCCTTTGGTTTTTTGGGATTGGCTTATCTCACCTGGCACAATAATCTCCAGCTCCATCCATTTAATGCAGATGCCACCATCCCATTCTTCTTTATTGTCTCAACACACGACTAAACCAATCAGGGTCACTCCAGGTGAACCGGGCTGGCACAAAATAGTCACACAGAGACAGAGAAAGACCTTTATCTCTGGATTCTGTGACGGCTCCTCTGACCCAGCTCCACAGGAGGCAAGGCAGGCAGGAAAGAGAGCAGCCTCGAACCCGGGTTCCACTGGGGGAGGCTGTTCCACGGAATATTCTATCCCAAAAAGGGCAAAGGGGTAGGATTACAAAGGAACAGGTGGTGTAACTCAGCCCCAGCAGGTGTCGCCTGCTCCTGGAGCCACGCCTGGGGTAACGCCCAAGCTACTGCGACCTGGCACTACCATGCCAGACTGAAGGCAATAATCGTTCAGAACCTGGTGCATCAGACTTAAAGGCGTCTGTATCCAGGACGGCTCCCTATACTTTATGGCTGAGTAGTATTCCATCATGTATCACGTTTTCTTTATCCATTCATCTGTTGATGAAGTCCAGACTTTGTGGAGCTCCCACAATCTAATCAACTTCCACAAAGCCTCCCCTCCTTCAATACTGCCACACGGGGGACCAAACTTCCAACATTCGAACTTTTGGGACACTCAAGACATAGCAGTAACTTCAGCATAGACAGAGGCTGGGTGATGGCTGGGGAAGGGCTCCTGGGGCTGCTGCTTTGTGATTGTGGCTTCCTGGCACATAGCAAGCCCTTGGTGAGCCAATCTTCTCACACTTTGCACATTTTTATATCCAGGTCATCTTGTCCCCATTCTTCCACTGTGTTCCTCCTCTGTGAAGGTGCAGGGGACTTCTCCATGAAGTCCTATTTTTTCCCAAGTCCCCATCTGCTTGCCAGATAAGAGCCACTATGAGCAGTCTGTCTCAATTTGGGGCAGTTGGTCATGTCTGAAGACATCATTTTTTTTGTAGTCATGCTACAGAGAAGAGGTGCTCCGGCACCCAGGGTGGAGAGGCCAAGGGCGCAGCTCACCCAGCAGGTAATTCCCCAGCTCAAAATGCCTCTAGCTGAGCTCAGACCCTGGTGTGGCTCTGAGGCTGGACAGTCCCACTGGGATGTCCTCCCTCACCGTCCCTCAAGTCTCCCCCGAGTGCGCCAGTAGTGTGACTGGTGTCCACTTCTGGGTGGCGCCCGTGTGCTTTGTGGAGTCACACAGATTGTCATCCAGACCCATCTGTGTTCCTCCTATGTGACTGTGCAGGGGACTTCTCCATGACATTCAGGACCGTGCAGTGGAGCGTGAGAGCAGGTAGGATGAGAGTCTGAGCCGCCAGTTAAGTTCATCCTCAGCCTGTTCTTAGGCACGGTCACGTGCTGATGGACGCGGGGATACCGTCTGATACATGCTCACAGGTGGTTTCATTGTTGTGTCCTTCCACAGGCCAGGCTGGCTCAGAATTCCCTGGGCAATGTCACCTTAGGGGAGCACTGTCACATTCTGAAGTCCTGAAGCATCATGATGTAGTTCCTGTACGTGGAGTGCCCCATGATTTAGAGACTCAGATAACACCCAATGTAGGTGGAGTGGGGTATTAGGGTGGCCGGTCACTTGGTGTCCGGTCCCTGCCAGGACTCAGTCATAGCCAGGAGCTGCTTTTCAAGTGGAGAAGAGATGTCTAGAGAAGCCTGGCCACCGCCGACCCCTAGGATTGGCTTGCTAGAGGGTCTGAATGGCTTCTCTCTTCCATAGATTCTTCTAGTGTTCTTGGGTCCCTCGGTCAGATGACTCAAGAGGCAGGGAGCGTCCTTGCACCCTGGATCTGGTGTTGCAGAGGCTGTTCTTGCCCTGGATTTTCTTCAGAATGGATCATCTTCTTGGTTCTTATTGGCAAGAGAAGTGGAGGAGCAAACCCAGACCCACCAATCACTGGGCTCCTTTGTATCAGTGGTGTTCATTCATTCATTCATTCATTCATTCAGTTTGCAGTACTGGGGACAGAACCCAGGAACTTTTACCCCTGAGCTATACCCCCATCCCTTTTTAAAATTTATTTTGAGACAGAGTCTCACTAAGTAGCCTGGGCTGTCCTCCAACTTGCAATCCTCCTGCCTCAGCCTTCTGCGGGTCTCCCGATAAGCTCCAGGACTGTATCAACAACGTGGCTGCCGATCTTCCTGCTTTGGGCTCAGTTTCCTTCCCGTGCCAGTCACTGTCCTGCCAACCTTGTGTGGTGCCAGCTAACTCTTCTCTCGAGACCCAGTTGGTAAGATGGTGTCAGTGTCACCAACCAGCTGGTGAGCAGCGAGTCCTCAAGCTCTCCGTGGACTCCTGGAAGTGAGACAACGCAGGAATTACTCTTGTCCTTGTCAGCCGAAAGCCAACTGTCTTCCCCATCAGTTTCCCAGCTTGGAGGGGCAGGAGGGAGCATGCAGTCCTTGACCCTGTGCCACAGTCCAGGTTTGCATTCGGGTCTTCAGGATGCCACGTCTACAGCTCCAGCTGGGGTGGCACTGCCACCTGGTGGGGTTTGTGATGATCCCTCTCTTCCAAGACCAGCTTTTGCACCAGCCAAACAGGATTGTGAAACGGGACTGGTAAGAATCTCCGCCCCCTGTGTCTTCAGAATTTTTACAGGTGGGTCTTGAGCTCTGTGCTTCCCTCCCAGTTGTCCTATGGCCTTTGGTTTATTCTCTTTGCCAAAGGGACAGATCCAGGGACTGGCTCATGGGCCAGAAAAATCCACAGGAGGGTTTTGCACTCTTTCACAGGAAGAATATCTCACTAGGGGCTCAGAGCAGCTCTGCAGTAGAACAGGTGCTCAGCGTGAGCGAGGCCCTGGGTTTGATCCCTAGCACGCATGCGCACGCACTGTACATCCTAGGATTAAAAACAACCAGAAGAGACGGATTTCAGCCAAGGCTTTGTCTGTGGGGGCTCAGGAGCCTCAGCCCCTCTGGGACGGGGTGGAAGAGCTGGGATGGGACAAGATCAGAGCCCATGGAGCGAGGAGGTGACGAATATAAGCATGTGGCCTTAGCCAACAGGCATAATCAAAGGGGCACCTGGCCCAGAGCCCACAGGAGAGGCGTGGCCTGAGGGTCCGAGCCCAGGGGCGTGGCTAGAGCAGTGGGGGAGGCAACCAGGATTGTGGCCTTTGGGCAGGGAAACACCGAGCAGGGCAGTGGACCTGCGTTGAGGCCGGAAGTCCTTCTCTGACTCCCTCACCTTGAGGATTGAGTGGCCCAGGCCACTAAGAGGAAGGGATATGATTAGGGAATCAAGGGGAGGTGGGCAGAGTTGGGGAGACCCTGGTGGTCCTGGTCAGCAGGTCTGCGGCTCCCTGGGGGCCGCTGATGAGGGTCCCTGGCTACTTCTCTGTGCACAGATGGGGCTTTGGGAGCTCAATGAATGGCTCAGGGGAAGAGTGGCCGGGAGGCTCGAGGGGCCCAGCGGGGTCCTGAGGGCCATGGACCAGCCAGGACAGGGAGAAGACAAGTGAGCCCCAGGGCTCTTTCCAGCTCTTCATCCAGTGAGAAAGTCTGCCCACCCCCAGCACAAGCGCTTCCACCAGTTAGTGGCTTGGACATTGGCCCTACTGTGGCCACATGTGGCCTCATGTACTGGACAGAGGGTGGCCCTGCCCAGTTTCTCAGGGGCCTGGAGAACAGTCCAGACTCCTGTCTTGTTCCCAGACCTCTTGGGACCCTTGGGGACCCCCCACACCCCTGCACAGCCAGCCAGGAGGGCCCACTGCCTGGGGTGATGCCTGTGGGCAGTTCCCAGGGGTGTGGCCTCCTGCCCACATGCTCCACATGTGGACTCCACCCCAGGTGACTACAGTCACACAGAGACTCAGGCCACACACCTCCATTTCCCCACCTGGACACAGGCAGAGGTGTGGCCACTGCGTCACACGGATGCTCACACATGCAGATACACACATGAACCGCCCCCCCCCCCCACATGCAGGTGTGTTTGTGTCACACCCCAAGTATCGCACAATGTCACATTACTCACAACCAGACAGTGTGATGCCCCCAGCCCCAGCCCAACACCGTCAGACCAGGGTGCACAGGCCACACAGAGAAGCCCTGGGCCCCTGTCCCCGTGCTGCAGCCCCATGTGGGCAGGAAGGAGGCGGGAAGGCACTTCCTGCAGGACTATAAGACCCCTGGTGGGAAGGGGGCCGGAGTAAGGGGAATAAGATGAGGGGCAGGGACGGGCGGGCGGGGGCAGGTTGGAGGAGCCGTGGGGGAGGGGAGTGGGGTGAGAGGGAAGTGGAGGGTCTGAGTGGAGGAGGGCGGGGGCTGTGAGGGGATGCAGGACGCAGGGATGAGGTAGCAGGATGGAGGACAGGGGAGGGAGGGCTGGGGACCTCCTCCAGATGAGAAGGTGGGAATGACCTTCTCCATCTCACAGGCAAATGACAGGGAGAGGGGGGAGCGGCCCTGTTAGAGTCTGTGAGAGCTTGGCTTGGCCAGGCAGGCCTCCAAGAGAGCACAGTGGTGTGGCATGACCGGTCCTGATGTCTGTCTGTCTGCCCAGGGCCTTGCAGTTCCAAGCATTGCCAGGCATGGCCCCTGGGGATCTGGGCTGCTGGTCTCCAGCACTGGCCCTGCCTTGGCCTCCGAGCTTCATGTCCTCATCTTGGCAAAGGGTCTAATAATGATTCATCCCTTTACAATGCTGTTGGGTGGTTCTTTCAGCAGCAGACATTAATTGAGCACCTGCTGTGTGCCAGACATTATTCTAGGCTGGGGGCTGGGGACATGATGGAGAGCAGCTGCTGGTGTTCTGAGGTGGGAATGAGATGTGGCCGCCAGGCATCGGGCATATAGCAGGCACACCATAAGTACCAGCCTCCCGTGAGCTCTCAATAGGTGGTTCCTGCATCCTCAGCCTCCAAGGACCCTGTTCTGAGAGGCAGCCCACCCTCTCCTTGGCCTCCTAACCCTGCCCCAGTCTTCCTTTACAGGAGCATATCAGAATCAGCACAGTTAGCCTCTGCCTGAGGATTGAGCACTGGGACGCTCTACTGCTGAGCCACATCCTCAGTCCTTTTTATTTTTTATTTTGAGATGGCATCTAAGTAAATCGCCCAGGTTGGCCTCCAGCTTGCAATCCTCCTGTCGCAGCCTCCCAGGTAGCCGGAATTATACTCCTGCGCCACCATGCCTAACTTTTTCCATTTCTTCTTTCTCCATCAAAGAGGTGGCTTCCCCTGCCTCTTCCGTTTGCTTTTAGGCTAAGGCACCCTGCCTTCAGCTGGTTGGGTGTCCAGCCCCCTCATCCCACCACATAGCACTGGGGATTTTAAAGTCCAACCCTATGGAGGCTCCCTTTGAGCCAGGAGATTTCGGGCTCTGCCACCTACTAATATGAAATCTCAAGCCTCAGTTTGGCTTCAGTTTCTGTATCTATAAAACAGGGCCAGCCTATTTGGTGGTACTGCTATGCTTAGCCAGGACCAGTACTTAGTAGTGCTCAATATAAAGGAATAACTTAATTTTTAGCTCTTCTGATTATTTTGCGAAACGTCCTCTCCCCTCCCTCTAGCCCCTCCTCCCTGACTGGCCCTAAGCTGGTCCCGTATCCCATCCACTGGCTTCAGAGACCTGTTGGGGGATGGTCGTATAATGCTCTCAGTCAATGAGCAGTGTTGAGCTTTTGGGGGGGGGATACTGAGATTCTTGCTCACTGAGGGAGACTGGAAGCTGAGTCCCTGTCCTGGAGCACAGGGAGAAAACTCCCCTGAACATTAATCAACAGGTGGAGGAGGCCGTCATCTGAGCCCAGAACAAGCTGTTCCTGAAGCTCATCCCTGAGTTTTCAACCATCCATGTAATATTTGTTGAAAACTAATATGGGCCATGTGCCACTCCAGTTGCTGGAGACCATCCCCATTTCACAGTCATCGCAGTGCTGTTCCAGGCCTTTGCACTTGATGTGACTCATCAGTGCTCCTCCGAATTAAACTGTTTGGGCTCATTTATATTTGGGAGTACGGTGGGGATGATCATCTCCAACTTTTTGAGCCTCCAGAGCTGCGCTTGGGAGCGTGCAGTACTCAGAGATGCCTCTGGAGGGCGCAAGAGAAGCTGGCGGCTGCACTTGGACAGCCGTCACCCAGGGGCTGAAGAAACTGGGAAAATCCATTGACGGTGGTGATGGTGGTGGCAATAATGGAGCACAATTTAGTTCTAGGCTTGTTTTAATTTTCATAACAGCCCCACCACATATGTACCATATCATCTCCGTTTTCTAAATGAGGAAACAAAGGCACAGAGAGGTCTAGGAACTTACTCAAGGACCCTCAGTGATAAGTGGCAGATCCAGAAAAGAACAAGAAAGAGATAAAAGGTGCCATCTGTCTGACCCCTGGCTGAAGGCAGTTGAGCTCCACAGTATGTGGGAGGTAACCCAGGAGGGCCCCTGGGTGGAGGGGGCTGACACCCTTCTGCACTTGGCTCATTGTGATCCCCCTCCTCCACTCCCAGCCACCTGCCAGATGTTCTCCAGCAGTGGCTCCGTGTCCCCTCCCGATGGTGCTAAATCTGGCCTGCTCAACTTCAGGCAAATCAGATGCTCCAGTTTGAGGACCGGAAGGCTTCCTGGAGGAAGCCACGTTCAAGCAGGGACCTGGTGGAGGACGAGGAGCCAGGCAGCTGGAGCGAATTCAGGCTGGGGCAGCGTGGGCAAGAGCCGGGGGTGAAGGGCCAGCCCTGGGCGGCTCCGGAGGCTCTTTGCATGAACATTTCCCGGACCCCACAGGGGCGAAGGCCCCACGACTTTCCCAGCCCTGTTTCCACCCGTTCAGGGTTTCCTCTGAATGATCAAAGGAGATTATCTGCAGCCTGATCTCAAAGGCCCGCGCATCTTGCGGCTGCTTCTTCAGTTTCAAATGCAGCCTCTGGCACAGGAAGGGGGCTGAGGGCCGCTGGGCCAGGGGTCGCAGAGCCCCTTCTCGGTCACCTTCTTCTGTCCTTGAACCCGGAGTCTGGGAGCCCCGGCCCACCCAGAGCCCCCGCCCCTGGGCCCAAACACTGCTGCCCTTGGTGCCCAAGGAGGCTCGGCTTCCGGTTGCCCGGGAGGCCCCACTCGAGGTACTTTGTAACCAGCATTTTCTCCCGTGTGCGCCAGTCCCGCGTGGGTCATGGGACAGTCCTGCCTGGGTGCCTGGCACTGTTCTTGGCCTCTCTGGTCTCCTCTTGCCTCATCTGGAAAATGGAAAACAGACGATCTGTTGTCAAGTGCTCACGTAACACAACGGGCGCCATTGTCATCGTAGTTCATGCGACTCTGACACTGGGATCTCTGCTCTTCTCGGCCCACCTGGCTTCTTCTCTCACGACTCCAGGAAAAGGAACCCCGATTGCGCACACAGACCTTTTCTGCACCCCGGGTTTCAGGATGTCTGTGGGGAAAGGGAAGCTCCTCACAGTCTGGGGGGGCAGTGAGCCCCACAAGGCGTCCTGAATGGGGAGGCATTTAGGCAGAGAGCCTGCAGGGGCCCCCCGGAAAGGAGACCCGGGAGGAGGGGAGGATCCCTCAGGTAGACTCGGGGTGAGCTCACCTTCCCCGTGAGAGGCAGGATCCATGGAGGGAAGGGTCCCTGGTGACTTGACAGCAGGTCGAGGGCAGCCCCCAGGGTCCCCCAGGTGGCGGCTGCTGGGTGGGGAGAGAGCCCCACCTAAGGATGCGGATGTGAGGTGTAGCCTCCTGGTCTGGTCTGAGGGTGGGTGGGTGCCACCGTGAGAGGAGGATGAGGACGAGACTGTGGGCGCCGTGGGAGGTGACCAGCAGGTGCGGCCTAGTTGTTGGGCTCTGGGGTGACACCCCATCTCTGGGTCTTGACCATGCGGCTGATTCCTTTGGGACCCTCCCTGGGCTGTGTTGGGGTTCTTCAGGGAACACATGGTGCCCAGGCTGCCACTATCCCAGCCCTAGTCTCCCTGTGGACGCAGCTCTCCTTTCGGTCCCCTCTCAGTCTTGGAGCCATGTGAGGGCGGGGATGGGCTGTCACTGCCGTCCTGATGGCTGGCGCACAGCGGAGCTCTGAACCATTAGGGGGTGGCCTGACTCAGTGGGGTCCTCCTCCGCCCAGCTTTAGTCTGCACATGGAATCAATCAGTCACCCCAGGGATGGGCCCCCAGTCTGTGCCCCCTTGGAGGGGAAAGTGGGGACATGCAGTTTCCAAAGGGTCCTGGGGACTCCCCTCCCCTGGCACCTCCCTGCTCAGCCTCAGCTGTGGGGCTGCTGTCGGGATCCCCCTTCTGTAAGCCCAGACTGCAGCAAGCCGCAGCGGCCCTCTAAGTCCCCCTCCCTACATGGCTGGGGCAGACACCATTCGGCTCCGGAAATGCCCTCTGCCCTCCCCAAACACGTGACCCGCGATTTTCCTTGAACACAGCACTTTGTGACTTTGACATGAACTTCAAATGCAGCTTCTTTCCTGTCTTCGCATCAAAGAAGGAGGTTGAGTCGCAGAGGAGCTGCTGGTGAGAGCCCGAGGGACACCAGGCCTCCCAGCCCAGGCCCCACTCCTGCTGGCCTCTGTGCCGTCCCCGGGGTGCCCAGGTGAGCGCCCGTCTTGGGGCCTTGTGCTCATGTCCGGTGAGCCCCAGGCAGAGGCTGAGTAAAACTGTCCCCAAGTGTGAAAGTGGCAGGATATGGCTTCCTCACCCCGCCCCGTGTCTGAGGTGGGGGGAGCTGGCGGGTCTCAGGCCCGGGGCTGAGCTGACTTCTTGGGTCCTGTTCCTCACTCAGAGCCAGCTCGCTGGTGCTGGGGACCAGAGACCCCACAAGTGGCCCGCCCACCTTGACATCCACCGGCACATCCCCAGGTAAGAGATGCCCGGATGGGGCCACACTGGGCTGGGTGGCCTTGTCTGCGGGGAGGGCAGCCTGCTAGCCGGGAGTCGAGGGCCTCTCCTGCCGACTGGGAGGGCCCATGTCCAGCTGGAGAAGGACAGCACATTGAGGAAAGCAGCTGTCCTTTCAGATGCCAGTGACCCAGGAGTGTCCAGGGGACACAGAGATGCCTGCTGGGTCCCTGGCCTCCCGCTTGAGCCCTGTCAGGGCTGCATGTTTGGCTTCAGGAGCAGAGAAGATTCCGGAAAGAGCAAGTGTGTACTCCGGTCCCTGGGCCCCATGAATGCGAGGGTGGCTAACGGGGCCGTGAACTTAAACCACAAATGCTGGTTCAAGTCCTGATGCCTGGCGCCCCTCTGAGGAGGGGCCCAGGGCAGGCTCAGGCTACTTATCAGGACCCGGAGAGGAGCAAGGCCACTGGGTTCTGCTCAGCTGCCTGGGGGGGGCTCCATCTGCACATCTTGTTTGATGCACAAACATGGACGTCTTGGAGGTGTAGGTCCTGACCGGCGAGTAAGGTCACCTGCCTGTGACCTCAGGCAAGGCACCTGCCCCTCTGGGCTTTAGGCTCTATCTACAAACCCGTCATGGGGTTCTCCTGTGCATTAAGAGGGAGACTGTCCCCAGCGTACCTGGCACATAGTAGGTGCTTGCTGAACATCTTGCTAGGATCCTATTGTTATTTCTGGCTCTGAGCTGCCTCAGGCCCTGGACTTCACAGTTTCTAGAAACCCGGGGGCTGTAGCCACCAGACCACTCCATGCTGACGGCTCCTCGCCCTGGGCCCGGGAGTAGGGTGACGGCTGTGCTTCGATCGGGAGCCACTCTGCCTCCCCACATTCCACAGGGACAGTTGATGTTTTTGAGATATTTTTGGTCATGCCTGGGGTGAGGGGTCTTTGGACATCTCCTACACAGAGGCCAGGAGAGCCGCTAACCCCCCTATAAGGCAGAGGGCAACCCACACTGCCCTGTCTCTGTCAGGCCCTGTCTTCCTCACTCACCCCCAACTTTTCCCATCTCCCTTTTAGGATCCCCAGAGCTTGAGACCCAGAGAGGGAAAGCTTCTTGCTGAGGTCACACAGCTCCTAGGACCAGGCAGCTGAGCTTGGGGTTAGTGGTGGTGGGGGGCTGGCTTGCTGCAGGGGGTCCAGGGACACTGTGCCGTCCATCAGCAGATTCTTGGTGCTGGATTTGGGATCCTGCCCCATAAAGCATGTGGCCAGGAGAAGGGTGTGGTGCTGCTCTGAGCTGAGGGAAGAGCCCAGGCAGAGGCCCCTCGGGGTTGGTCCTTTCCTAACCCCTGGTCAGTGAGTCAGAGAAGCCTCTCGCCCAGCCTCCGTCCCCTCCCTCCCCATGACCCTGGACCCCATCAGCTGTCGGGGTGTCTCTGCCCATCAGAGCCGACTGGAAACCTTTCTAGGTACCCATTATTGGTGGCCTCTGCTCGACACCGTGTGTGTAGGGGACCTACTATGTGTCTGGCTGATATGGGCAGCAGAGAAATACAAGGTCTCCACTGTCACCGTCACATTCTGGTTTTGTCAACACATCAATGCCTGCATCACATCTTAGGTGGTGACAAAGCTGGGCCAGGGATGGGGAGGGGAGGCCATGTCAGAGGGGGAGGTCAGAGAGGCCCTTAGAGCAGGGGACTTTCAGGCAGAGGACGAAGGAAAGAGTGCCCAGGCAGAGGGCACAGGTGGTGCAAAGGCCCTGAGGCTGAACTCTACCTGGTTAGTTCAAGGGACCTGAACAAATAACACAGGGAGGCCACACAGCTGGAGGGGCAGGGAGGGCAGGAGGTGACAGGTACATTACACAAGGCATTGGGGGCCACGGTGAGGGGCTCAGCTTTTGCCCTGAGTGAGGTGGGAGCCCAGGAGGGCTGGAGGATGTGCTATCACATGCTCTGACCAAAGCCCTCCTGCTAGGTCCCTTGGGATATATGTATAAAACACCCCTCACCCCAGGCGTGACCATATATGGCACCAGGGATTGATCCCAGGGTGCTTAACCACTGAGCCACATTCCCAGCCCTTTTTAAAAATATTTTATTTAGAGACAGGGTCTCACTGCGTTGCTTAGGGCCTCGCTAAAGTGCTGAAGCTGGCTTTGAACTTGCGATCCTCCGTCTCTCGTGATCCTCCCAGTGCCTCAGCCACTGGGATCACAGGCGTGTGCCACCGTGCCCGGCTCCCTTGGGGCCTTGTTCCCTCTGTTGTATGAATGCCTCCATGTCCCCTGTGGCCTCTCACAGTGGGCAGTGAGTGGGGTGTTTGGTGCTCGGCGTGTGTCCTGTGGGACGGTGGACCTGCTCGCTGCCCCTGAGTCACAGCCGAAGAGGCCACACCGATCTTCTCAGAGCCTTTCCTGGGCCTTCCACAGCAATCTGAAAACCTCTGACACTCGGCCCCTTTCCTCTGCGATGCTCGGGGTCTCTCTGGGACAGACGCGATTTCACGCTGCTGTCCCCCCTGGAGGACACCTGAATGTTGGAACTTCAGGCAGGTTGCGGATCCAGGTGTTTCTCCTCCTACCTCTCGGCTTGGGCTGAGTCAAAGCTGGTCTCCCGTGGCTGTCCCTGGGGTGACCTAGGAGGGCCATCAGCTCGGAGACAGACAATGAGAATCTCGGAGCTGTGAGCTCAAGAGGAGGGGGAGGGCCAGCCCAGGGTGTCTGGGGACGAGGCCTGGGTGACAGCTAACGGCTGGCTGAGAGTCCGGTGGCCTAAGCCCCAGGCCTGCCTGAAACCCCTGACCAAGACCTTGGGTCAGCTCATGCAGGACTGGACTGGGAGCTCGAGAGCTGGGTGTCTCCTGGCGAGGCCCGGAGGTGCAGGGACGCAGCTCAGGACAGGTGGGTCTCACGGGGAGGCTGCAGACTGGCCTGGCTCGTCTGAGAACTGCTGCTCCATGCTGGCCTGGCCTGGAGACGGGCCTTGGCAGGAGGCCACAAGCCCACGTCTTGCCCTGGACCTTCAGCTCCTGCCTCTGGTCTCTCTCTGGTGTCCTCAGTATCTCTGGCCCCAGGGCCCCTGTGTTTTGCTGATGAGGTCAGGTCAGTCCAGAAGGGCACAGGGAGATGGGTGCAGAGGCATGCTCGGCTGGCCCGGGGTCGGGTGGGGGTTGTTATTATCATTGTCATCGACAGTGACACGGGAAGGCTGGGGAAAGCCGAGACAGAGGGCGAGCTCCTGTCCCTGGGACACCCTGGCCTGGGGTCTGAGGTGGCCACTCTCAGCCTATGACCCTGTACTGGGCTCCGAGGACCAGCCTCCTCCCATCTCTTCTGCCTGACCCCCTTCCTGCTACCCAGGCTGCACCTGTGGCCACCATGGGGCGGAACTTCTCAAACTGAGTTGCCGACACAAGTTGTGCTTCCTGCCACAGCTTCCTGCCCAGGGGCCAGTGCCCCCCCCCACCCGCCCACCATGTGCCTGGACAAGCCCCCACCTCGCTGCTGCATCCTGTACCCCAATCCTTGATAGGAGCTGCCAGGAAGGGCCAGCTGGATTGGGAGGATGGGGGGGCACTGCATGGATAAAAATATGGAGGCAAATTTGAAGGAAGCAAGAAACAGCCAGGTGGGCAGAGGGCGGGTGGGGGTAGATCCACTGAGGTCAGCAGGGGGGACAGGGTGGGTCCTTGAGCCCAGAAGGCCTCTGGGAAGACTCGCCTAGGAGCAGCTTGCAGACGCTGGAGCTCAGCTCCTGTGGAAACAGATTGTGGGGTTCAGCCCACCACAGGCACCCTGTGAGTTAGATCTGTATCTCAGGTTGTATTAATAGAAACAGTTGGTAGAGATCAAAGGAGGTGATGCCAGCACGGACTGACCTCAGGCTACAGAGCTGAGCTGGGGGAGGGGTGGGGTTGGCAGAATGGGTAGCCACAGACTGGATGACCCAAGTAAGGGACAAGGCTGGGGAAGGAGGAGAGCAGAAAGGATCAGAGCAGGAGGAGGCAAGCCAGGGGGTTGCTGAGCTCTGCAGGGCTTCAGGGGGTTCACTGGTGTCCATCACATAGGGGACGCAGCATTGAGGAGGGCACTGAGTGCTTGCCTGGCACTACCACAGTTTGAGAGCTGGGATTAGCAGCGGGTGTAGAGTGCCAAGCTGGATTGATGGAAGTCTGAAACTTCCAGAGAGGCAGATGGCCCTTAATGACCTTCCCTACCTTCCAGGTGTGGTGGCTTGCTCCAGTAATCCCAGCAATTGTAGAGGCAGAGGCAGGAGGACAGCAAGTTCCAGGCCAGGCCCTAACCAACTTAGTGAGGCTCTGTTTCAAAAGAAAATCCAAAAAGCCTGGTGATGTGGCTCCGTGGTTAAGCACCCCTGGGCTCAATCCCCAGTACCAAAAAAAGATAAAAAATGAAAAAGCAAAGAAAGAAAAAGAAAAAGCAACCCTTCCCTGCCCTACTTCCGTTATCATTTTTTAGTGCAGGACATGCCTATCCCTCCCAGCTCCTTCCCGCTCAAATAAACGAGTCGAGTTGCAATTTACGTACAGTAAGATTTATATGCCATCTGAGTGAAGTCTGAGACCTGACGAAGTCATGCAGCCAGGACACTACCAGCTCCATCACCATGTTGCCCCAATCCCTGGCCACTCTGTGGTCAGCCCCTGCCCCAGGGAACCTCTGACTCCTCCATCCCCGCAGGTTTGAACTGAACCTCAGAGTCTGGCTTCTCTGAAGCCTTCCAGATACCCTTGGGCCATCTCACTCACTGACTCCCATTCCAGGCTGTTCCTCTCCGCCCCAGGCCCATCCTGCCCAAGGCTGGATACCCAAGGTGGATGCGGCTCTCCCGATCCAGACTGAACCCAGGGGGTACTTAACCACTGAGCCACATCCCCAGCCCGTTTTATATTTTATTTAGAGACAGGGTCTCCCTAAATTGCTTAGGGCCTCACTAAGTTGCTGAGGCTGGCTTTGAACTAGTGATCCTCCTGCCTGAGACTCCCAAGCCCCTGGGATGACAGGTGTGTGCCACTGTGACCAGCCCACAAAAGCTTCTTGTACCCTTGCTTACACTTGTGTAACTAAGAAGGGCACCCGAGGTCCTGTGCCCCAATATTAGCTCAAGCCCAGGTGGCCTTGCTGGGCCCACCTTAGCAGAGAGACGACTGGTAACTGCTATGGGGAGATTTTTTTTCCCCCAACATTATTTAAAAAGTACAGAAAATGGAAAGAATTGATTTCATGCCCTTTATCCACCTCCCAGATTCTACAATTCACGTTTTGCTCTATTTATCACAGACTGTTGATCCTCATTGTATACAGATCCTGTGTTTAGAGACCCTGTCTCCAAATAAAATATAAAATGGCTGGGGATGTGGCTCAGTGGTTCAGCACCCCTGGGTTCAATCCGGATTGGGAGAGCCGCACCCACCCTGGGAGTTGCTGGGATTACAGGTGTGCCCCATCGCACCTGCCCTCAACAACAAATCTTAACAAGTCTGTAGATACATTATTTTTGTGGTACTGGGGTTGATCAATGCCTGGTGCCTGCGGGACAAGCACCCGACACCGAGCAACACCCCCAGTCCAATCACACATATTACATAGGTGCCTTGAAACAGAAAGACACATAACAAGGTCACAGACATGTCGTACCTTGAAAATATGTGCAGAGTCTGGTAGGAACCTAAGTCTGTATTTCCTCTAGGACTCTTGGTTCAGTGTTTGTTAGTCTTGCGGTGATTTTTCAAAACTGTGAGTGACAAGTATCCTATCCACGCACCGCTCCCTGAGCATCCTCCAATCAGGATTTGTTTTTGGATACCTTTCAAAATCAATTACAGTTGTCAGCACAAAGCCCACCCAGACATTCTGCATTCAGAGCAGTAACCAGGGATCACTCGGCATAGTATGGTTCTTTCTTATTGAGGGGTGAATACAATGACATGCAAAACTCTTAAGTGTAAGCCTGGCACCGTGGCCCATGCCTGTAGTTCCAGCAACTCAGCCCTGGCTGGGGATGTGGCTCAGTGGTTAAGCACCCCTGGGTTCAATTCCTGGTAAAAGAGGAGGAGGAGGAGGAGGAGGATTCTTAAGTGTATACTGAGTTTTGATTAATTCAGACCTGTGTAACTGGACCCCTCTCAAGATACCACTGTCACCATGACCCCAGCAAGCTTAGGGTAGGCAATTTTAAATCATCTGCCTTACCAGCTTATCTATCTACCCTTCCCCCAATCCCACATTGTTTAATGGTTATATTCAAGTTCACATTGGAGTTAAACTCTAATGTGTTAAATTGATCCCCTATTGATGGATATTCAGATTAGTTTACCCTTTGTGGAAACTTGTCAAGGAAGGGAGAGGCGCACGGCCAGGGCGGATTTCCAAGAGGGGCACAGGTGGAAGAGCAGGATGCGGCAAGGGTCCTTGGATGAGCAAAGCTTGTTCCAGCCTCAGGGCCTCTGCACATGCGGGTCCTGCTGCCTGATGTGCTCCCTCCCTGCTCCCAAAGTTTTGTCCTCCTTATCCTTCTAATCTTGCCTTAAACACTGCCTCCTCGGAGAAGGTGACCATCCTAGCTAGAGTGACCTCTGTATCTCAATATCATACTGTTCATTTCCTTTATAATCCTGATTTTAATCTGCAATGCGTATTTTTGTTCCCGTCTCTGCCTATCACATGCCCCCATGTTATCATCAGAGGGCAGGAGGGACCACGTCTTATGTAGCCATATCCCCAGCACCGGGGAGGGGAGGGTGGAACACAGTAGACGTTCAACACGTGCTTGGGAAATGAAGGGTGGTTACGGGTGGTGGGGCGCGGGGACTGTAGAGGTGTCAGGTGGGTTTGGGACTCCAGATCTGTGTTCCGGGCTCTGCGCAGCGTCTCTCCGGCCTCCCCTGGGCCCGACGGAGGGGCTCATCGGTGCACCCCCCTCTGATCCACAGGGCCTGGCAAGGTGCTGGGCGCGCGGCCCGCGCAGGCCGGTGGCGGCGATGCCGGACCCCGCGGCGCACCTGCCCTTCTTCTACGGCAGCATCTCGCGCGCCGAGGCGGAGGAGCACCTGAAGCTGGCGGGCATGGCCGACGGGCTGTTCCTGCTGCGCCAGTGCCTGCGCTCGCTGGGCGGCTACGTGCTGTCGCTGGTGCACGACGTGCGCTTCCACCACTTCTCCATCGAGCGCCAGCTCAACGGCACCTACGCCATCGCCGGCGGCAAGGCGCACTGCGGCCCCGCCGAGCTCTGCGAGTTCTACTCGCGCGACCCCGACGGGCTGCCCTGCAACCTGCGCAAGCCGTGCAACCGGCCCGCGGGCATGGAGCCGCAGCCTGGGGTCTTCGACTGCCTGCGCGACGCCATGGTGCGCGACTACGTGCGCCAGACCTGGAAGCTGGAGGTGAGAGCGCGGGCCGCGGGGGCGCCGGAGGAGCCGCGGTGCCCAGCCCCTGGGCGGTGCGGGGACGGGGTCGTCTTCGCCCGCCTGCGTGATGCTGATCTGAGGTGTTTGCTTTGGAAGCCGGAGGGAGGGGGCCCTGGCCAGGGGCGGGACCTAGGCGGTGGCTTCGTGCTGGCGGTGGAGGTGGGCTGTCCCCCACTGCCCGAGTGCCTGAGCCAGTGATGGAAGTGTGGACCTGGAGAGGCCGGCTTGCCTTGGGGGCTTGAGAGGCCGGTGGGTGGCTGGGGATGTCCTGGGGTCCGGCTGCTGCTGAGGCCCCAGCTGTGCGCAGCCGCCCTGCGCCAGGTGCGCAACTGCGCCCATCTTCAAGCTAAATGCGCGCTTGGGCCTAGGCTGGAAGGAAAGGCCTGGGGCTGGGTGACTCCCTGGACAGATGAGGAAGGCGACCTTGGCGCGCGATGGGGGTGGAGGTCTTATGGGGCCAATCGGGAGGGCCCAGGAGACGGGAGAGGGTTTCCATAGCCAGGCACTTAAGGACTTTCCTCGCCTCTCCTTCCCTAGGGCGAGGCCCTGGAACAGGCTATCATTAGCCAGGCCCCCCAGGTGGAGAAGCTCATCGCCACCACGGCCCACGAGCGGATGCCCTGGTACCACAGCAGTCTGACGCGCGAGGAGGCCGAGCGCAAACTCTACTCAGGCTCGCAGACCGACGGCAAGTTCCTGTATGTGGGGCCCGGGGTCTGGGGGCCGTGGGGGCTGGGGTTATTGACTAGTGTCCTGGGGCCCCCCTGGGCAGACCCGACTGTGCAGGGCGGCCTCCAGGGGACTGGCCTCTGCTCACCCACGTAAGTGGGTTGCTGTGTCCGTTTCTGGTGAGCAAAGGAACTTTTGTATGGGAAAGTAGCTGTAATGGGTAGCCAGGCCTTTAGAGTTGGCGGGCTTGGGGGTTTCTGTCACCCACTTGGCTGTGGGTTTGGAGTGTGGACCCGAATTTCTGCCTTCCTCAGTTTCCTCTCTTTCATTTTACAAACATTTACTGAATTCTTATTGGGTGCTAGTCACTGAGGACATGGTAACAAGCCACACAGACACAAGTGCCTGTCCTCCTGGGGCAGGTAGGAAAAAAAAAAAAAAAAACCCTAATAAAATCTAGACTCTGCCAGATGGTGGTAGGTGCTAGGTGTGTGCAGGTGGGGAGGGGCTGGAGGAGGGTTTCCCCAAGAGGTAACTTTAGAAAATTTTTCTATTTGATATTTTTATGTTATTTTTTTTTTTTTTTAGAGAGAGACAGAGAGAGAGAGAGAATTTTTTAATATTTATTTTTTAGTTTATCGGGGGACACAACATCTTTGTATGTGGTGCTGAGGATCCAACCCAGGCGGCAAGCATGCCAGGCAAGCGCGCTACCGCTTGAGCCACATCCCCAGCCCCTATTTGATCTTTTTAAAAGATGTACATGACAGTAGATTGTATGTTGACATATCATACACACATGGAGTACAACTTCCTATTCTTGTGGTTGAACATGATGTGGAGTTTCACTAGTCGTGTGTTCATATATGAACTAGGAAAGAAATCCCATTCATTCTATTCTCTTTCCTGTTCCCAGCCCCCTTCCCTTCATTCTCCTTTGTCTAATCCAAGGTACTTCTATTCTTTCCTATCTCCACCCCTTATTGTGTGCTAGCCTCACATATCAGAGAAAACATTTGGCCTTTGGTTTTTCTGGGATTGGCTTATTTCACTTAGCACGATAGTCTCCAGTTCCATCCAAATGTCATAATTTCATTCTTTTCTTGTGGCTGAGTAATATTCCATTGTGTATATGTACCACCTTTTCTTTACCAGTTCATCTGTTGAAGGGCACTTAGGTTGGTTCCATAGCTTAGCTATTGTGAATTGAGCTGCTGTAAACATTGAACTACTTCACTGTGCTAGGCTGATTTTAAGTTCTCTGGTATATGCCAAGGAGTGGGATAACTGGGCCAAATGGTGGTTTCATTCCAGGTTTTCTGAGGAATCTTCATATTGCATTCCAGAATGCTTGCAGTAATTTGCAGTCCCACCAGCAGTGTATGAGTGTACCTTTTTCCCCACATCTTCACCAACATTTATTGTTACTTGTGTTCTTGATAATTGCCATTCTGACTGGAATGAGATGAAATCTCAGTGCAGTTTTAATTTGCAATTCTCTGATTGCTAGAGATGTTAAACATTTTAAAAATATACTTGTTGATCGATTGTGTTTCTTCTTCTGTGAAGCATCTGTTCAGTTCCTTAGCCCATTTATTGATTTGGTTATTTGTTTTTTTGGTGTTAAGTTTTTTGAGTTCTTTATATAGCCTGGAGATTAATGCTCTATCTGAGATGCAGGTGCCAAAGATTTTCTCCCATGTTTTCTCTCTCTCCTCATGTTCTTGATTGTTTTCCAAAAGGTGACTGTGAGTAAAGAACTGAAGGAGGAGAGGAGGGACCCCTGAAGGTCTAGGGGTGTGGCTCAGTGGTAGAGCACGTGCCTAGCACCCCAAAAACAAAACAACAAAATCCAAACCAAACCAGAAGACAGGAAGAGACCGAGCAGCTTTTAGGTGAAGGTGCTCCTGGCAAGCAGGATGCCAGGGGCAGAGATCGGAGGCAAGGATTTATTTGGCATGTTCTGGAAACATGGAGGAGGCCAGTGTGCAGAGCCCAGTGAGGGAGAGAGTGGTAGGAGGTAGGTGGCTCTGGCTTTTCCGGAGTGAGGGCTTGCTCTCTCCAACTGTCCAGTAGGGGACAGCAGAACCCACCCCAAGGATCTGTTATAGAAGTTCACAAATTAACATGCATCAAGCAATAGTGTGGTACCAGGCAGATGGGAAAATGCACTCCTGTCAGCTCACGGTGTGTGCGTGCGTGCATGTGCATGCGGGTGTGTCTCAGGCCCAGCTGAGGCAGCGTGGCTGCTTGGTCATGAAAGATTCTCTAATGCTCTTAAAATCCTCTGGGTTGAAAGCCCGGCTGGAGCTGCCACTTTCCGGCTTGGATGTGAATTCTGTTGTGTTAACAGATGTTATCCAGATGAGAGCCGAGGTCTCTCAGGCCTCGAGATACAGAGAAACAGAGTTACTGCCCCTCTCCTATGACCCCAGGAAGTCCAGGGTCCTCCCCCAAATCCATGGGGGTCAGTGCCCAGGGCTTCCCTTCTGGTGCTTCTTGATTTGAGTACCTGCCCAGAGGGATTCCCGCTGTCACCCGCTTTCCCTAGGGCTGGTCCCTCTTCTGGGGCCTGTCCTCTTGGAGGAACTGACCTCCTTCCTCAATTTTTCCCACCCATGTGAGGTCTATGCAGATTGTCAGCACATCTCCCAAAAGATAAGTCCCCTCCCCAAGATTCTGCTGGCAGCTGATTTTTTTTTTTACCCTAACTCATAGATTTAGGCTGCACAGTAGAGTGACATTTCCAAGGATTTTGAGGGACCCCTTGATTGATTGCTGTTTAAAAGCTGCTGCAAGACAGCTTTTCAATAACTTTTGAGTTAGGGCTATTTTCCTCCAAGGGAAAACCTTTGCATTTGTATCAGTTAGCTTTTGCTGTGTAACAAACTTCCCCATGACTTATTGGCTCAGAGCAACGCGCAATTTATTACTTCTCACAATCCTGTGAGCAAGCTGAGCAGTTCTCATTTGGGTTGGGACCAAATACGTTGGGATGGTCATGCGCAGTGATGGGGATGAGGGATGAGTTGGCTGTGGAGCCTCATTGTCCACTGGGCTACCCTGGGCTCATTCACATGGTGCAGGTTGTAGGTTTCTCAAGAATAGTCAGATGGGCAAGTTCCAAGACGCAGTGCTTTTCAGACCTCTGCTACTGATGTCCTCTTGAATGAAGCAGGTCACATGTCCAAAGTCACCGTGGAGGAGGGACTACTCAAGGGAGAGGGGTGAAGATGGCGAGTTTTGTAGCCTATCAATCAGAAGATTGGAAGAAGGGGGTCATGATGAAGGCGTGGGCATCTTGAGCATCTGGGCCAGCTTTCTTTCTGTTTGGACGGTGGACAGCAGGACCTCCACCTGGGGTGTCTGGAGCGCCCCACCTCCTCATGCATGGAGATGCTGGGCTGTGTGTCACATCTCCTTGACCAGATGCTGCACCCCCGACCGCAGCTGTGATGCTCAGATGTCACTGACACTGGGTGGCAATGCGCACAGCCCTGCCCCGCCTGCTCATGAGCACGGCACCTGCTCTCTCTGTTACTGCAGCACTTTGTTTCCTCCTCCTCTGCTTCTCCTTCATCAAATATGAATTCATCTTTCCTTGCTCTTGTGGCTTGGGTGTCTTCCTCTGGCTTCAAGTCCCCAGTGCGGCTTTTCATCTGCAGATCTCTGTCTTGCTCTTCCCTTCTCCTCCCCGCCTCCTGTCCTCTGAGCCTTGCCATCTCACACTCTCCCCCCATCCATGGAAGGATCCGCCCCTCCCATGGTTTAAGCGTCCCCACGTTCCCGGGGGCAGGAGAAGCAGGAGGGACCCCAAGCCCCCAGGCTGGCTTCAGCGTCAGCAGTGATGTGGCTTTCACCTGTTTGTGGCTTCAGCTTCCACTTTCCAGCCTCTTTGACCAAGATTCTACTGCCCCAAGGAAAAGTGGGCCAACAGCAGCCCTGGCTGGCTTGGAGTTGACCAGCCAATGGGGAGGCGAGGACCTTAGGAAACCCAGGGCCAGTGGCTCCGAGCAGCTGTCGGCACTGTCAGGAGGCACATAGGACCAGTGTTGGCCGGGGGAGTGGCAGCTGGGGGAGCCTGGATCTGGGCGCGGCCAGTGGGATGGGAAACAGCTGGAAAAGTGTCAGTGTGAGTGACGGTGCCTCATTCTAGGGACTGTCAAGAGAGCAGGGAAGGCGACGGGGAGCCAGACTCCTGGAGAGCTGGCCAAGGCAGACTCTGGACAGAAACCAGTCCCTGAGGCTGAGAACTGTGCAGGCAGCCTGTAGAGAGTTGGGGCTGGAGGTCAAGGTTGCTGCGCCAGAGCCCCATGGGAGGCAGGGCAAGAGGGACATCCCCAGCAATCCCCGGGTGGGTGGGGGACAAGCCTGCAGCTGGCCGGTTCTGGGACAGGGATTCAGGGTGTGGTAAAAGACACCTGTCCCTCGGGCCTAGAATGATGACCGGGCCACCGTGAGCTTGTCACAGTGGCCCTCCCTGTATGGTCTGGGTAGAAATGACTTCCACATCTCCCCAAGAGACTGGTTTTAAGTCTGCCTGCTGCAGGCTGAGTGTCCCCTGGGAGGTGGCTTTGCGTCTGCCATAGATGGCCAACTATCCATTGGTACGAGTCTCAGTGAACTTCCCCGATGGCTGGGTGCGGTTGGTAGAGGACCAGGTGGTCCCCCAGATACGTACCCCGCGGCTGAGTATCCAGTCATGGGTTGCTGAGTGTCCCCCGTGGGTGGCCACACGCCCGCCCCTGGACAGCCGTGCGCTGCCCTGCAGACCCAGTCGCTGTCCTCCCAACTGCTTCTCCCTACAGCCTGTCAGTCACCAGAAGGCGCAGAGGCCGAGGGAGGCCCGGCCTTGTCTTCCCCAGCCTCTGCCACTTCTCCAAGTGGCTCCAGGGTATGGAGCCCGTAGGGTGGTGTGTGGGGACCAGAGGCACAGTGAGGGTCTCCCAGGTGACGGTACGGTGACATCCCTCCCCGCCACCCCTCCAGGCTGAGGCCCCGGAAGGAGCAGGGCACGTATGCGCTGTCCCTCATCTACGGGAAGACGGTGTACCACTACCTGATCAGCCAGGACAAGGCCGGCAAGTACTGCATCCCTGAGGGCACCAAGTTCGACACGCTGTGGCAGGTAGGACCCTGTTCCGGGAGGATGCCGTGGCCCTCGGCTCCCCGGCAGGAGGGCCCTGCCTGACACCTGCTCCCGCAGTTGGTAGAGTACCTGAAGCTGAAGGCTGATGGCCTCATCTACTGCCTGAAGGAGGCCTGTCCCAACACCAGCGCCAGCGCCGCTGCAGGTGAGTGGCGCCCGGGGCTGGGGGGGCACGAGGCCCCACCCCTCCCTCACTGTCCCTTCTGCTCCTTCAGGGGCCGCTGCACCCACTCTTCCAGCCCACCCGTCCACGTTCACGCAGGTGAGTCAGCCGGGTCCTGGGGCTGGGGACTCAGCGCTGGGCGGGCGGACTCCGGGGCCAGCGGGTGTGGAGAGGGGTTGCCACGCAGGGGTCTCCCCAGCACCATTCCTGGGGAGTCCTCAGCAGGTACTGGCCTCAGGAGAGGGGCTGGGCACCCCTGGCTTGGGCCCCACTGACGGCTGCTGACCCTGTGATCTCTAGGCTCAGAGACGGGTGGACACCCTCAACTCCGACGGATATACCCCTGAGCCAGGTGAGCTGGCAGAGGTGGAGGTGTGGGCAGTGTCCTCCTGCCCAGCTGAGCAGGGTCTAGGGCTGGGCTGTGGCCTCAGCAGGGGAGGACGAGGCCAGCCTGTGGCCCTTGCCCATGCCCACCACACCTGCCCACGCGCCTGTGTGTCCCAGCGGGAGCCAACCCAGGGGACAAACCCTGGCCACCTGGGGACTCCCTGTGGACAGACCCAGTTTTTGGAGTGCTTACCATGCGCTGGGTGCCTGTCACACTCCCTGGTTGCCGTGTGAGAGCTCGTTGAATCCCCTGAGGACCATGGGAAGTGGTCCTGGTGCTCAGCAGAGGGGAAGGGGCGGGCGGGCGGGCGGCCAGGACTTGAAGCCGGGCAGAGCCGACTCCTGGGTGCTGTCTCAGGTGCTCCCGAGTTCCATGTGTGGGTACACACCAGTGCACATGGGTGCGTGTGGGTCTGTGCTCTGTGGGTGTGCACACGGGCACTCTCCTCCAGAGGCCTCAGTTGGGAGGTACATACCTGGACACGGGCAGGCCCAGCACAGGTGTGCACACATGAACACACACACGTGCACACTCCAGCTTGCACCCCCTGGGGACGTGTGGCTACCCCTGCACGTGCCTCCTGAGTCTCTTCCACATGGCTTCACGGGGCACCCTCAGATGTGACAGGAGTGTGTGTGCAAGTGACACTCACAAGCACACACCTCCTCATGTGCATCTGCATCCTGCACGCGCCGGGCCGTGTATGTCCAGGGCACCTGCCTCGTGGGCTGAGGCTGCCCCGCCCTCCCCACCCTGCCCCCTCTCTGCCTCTGACCCGGGAGCACCCTGTGTGTGTGCCCAGCACGCCTGGCGTCCTCAGACAAGCAGCGGCCGATGCCCATGGACACAAGTGTGTACGAGAGCCCCTACAGCGACCCCGAGGAGCTCAAGGACAAGAAGCTCTTCCTGAAGCGTGAGAACCTCCTCGTGGCCGACATTGAACTTGGCTGTGGCAACTTTGGCTCAGTGCGCCAAGGCGTCTACCGCATGCGCAAGTATGGCCATGCTTGATGTCCCCTCAGGGACATGACTGTGCTGGGGGCAGCGGGAGCAGACTCGGGGACGGGGGCTGCTGCTTGCTGGAGGAGTCCCTGGAAAGCTCAGGATCCTGATAGGCAACAAAGGTCACGGGCGTGGGCCAGGGAGAGCGTGGGCCAAACTGTGTTGCCCCAGAGGCCTCAGGGCGTCCCAGGGGAGCTGCAGAGAGGTGCCCATGTTCCCGCTGCACTGACAGGGGAGGGGCGGGGGCTGGGTGTCTCTCTCCAGCCGTGGGCAGCTCCCAGTGGGGCCCTGGGCTGTGCGCTCTGGGGGGCAGATGCTCCCTGCAGCTGGAGAGAGAGTGCCTTGGTGACAGTGTCCACTGCACGTGGGGGGGTAGGAGAGGGACAGGAGGGCAGGACGTGTCTGACCCAGGCATGCGCCCCCCATTGCCCGCGCCCCGGGCAGGAAGCAGATCGACGTGGCCATCAAGGTGCTGAAGCAGAGCACGGAGAAGGCGGACAAGGACGAGATGATGCGGGAGGCGCAGATCATGCACCAGCTGGACAACCCTTACATCGTGAGGCTCATCGGCGTGTGCCAGGCCGAGGCGCTCATGCTGGTCATGGAGATGGCCGGCGGCGGGCCTCTGCACAAGTTCCTTGTCGGGAAGAAGTGAGTCGGTCCCAGTGCCCGCGGGCCACCCAGGCTGGGGCCCCATCCCGTCCACCCTCCCAGGGCCACCCAGGAGAGGGACACCATACTGACATGGGGGAGCATGAGCACGCCAGCGCACACCAGCCTGGTCGCACACGCCCACCCCGACACCCACACTCATGCCACGGGCCCAGCTGCCGGTCCTCAGCACCTCCAGGTGCACCTCGGTGGCAAAGGGGCCAGTCCACAAGGCTCTTCCAGGATTAACCGGGGCAGAACTTTCCGAGTGCTCAGTCGCAGAAGCTGTGTAAACACCAGCCCGTCCAGCCACCCAGATTCTCTGGGTCAGATTCATGAGCCGTGGAAACTGCCGATTGTCGATTATCTATGATTGAAAGCAGCAAACGGCAGCCGCAGCTTTTTGTACTGTGTGGTTTTACATTTTTATTTTGGTTTTGGGTACAGGGGATTGAACCCGGGGACGCTTAACCACGGAGCCACATCCCCAGCTCCCCTTTTTAAATTCTTGATTTTTTTAAAATATTACTTTAGTGGTCAGTGAACCTTTTATTTATTTATATGGGGTGCTGAGAATCAAACCCAGTGTCTCACACATGCTAGGCAAGCGCTCTACCTCTGAACTACAACTTCAGCCTCCTCCCCCCTTTATTTTGAGACAGGTTCTTGCTAAGTTGCTTAGGGCCTTGCTAACTTGCTGAGGCTGGCCTCAAACTTTCGGTCCTCTTGCCTCATCCTCCCAAGCTGCTGGGATTATAGGTGTGCACCACCGTGCCCAGCAGTTTTATATTTTTAAAGAATATAAAAAACAGGGCTGGGGCTGGGGCTCAGCAGTAGAGCGCTCACTTAACATGTGCAAGCCCTGGGTTCGATCCTCAGCACCACATAAATAAAATAAAGGTATTGTGTCCAACTACAATTGAAAAAATATAATATTAAAAAAAAGAATATAAAAAACAAAGTGTATGTGACAGAGATCATATGCAGCTGACAAAAGCTAAACTATTTGCTATCTGGCCCTCTACTGAAAACTTCTGTCATTTCATTTGTGATCTTCATGCCCACACTCACAGCCACAGACCCACATGTGCAGGCCCACCGGGAACATTTTTGCTAATCCCTTCTCATGGGCACACATGCCTTCACCCTGTGTTCCCAGGCACACATTTGGTCATTGAACAAGTGTTTGTTGGACAGGTTTTGGTGACAGGAACTATTACAAGTACTTGGGGTCATCAGCAATAGAAGCAGTAAAGCCCCCTGCCCTGTATTCTGGTTGGAGAAGAGAGCAATGAATAATAATCAGGAGAAAATACTGAGCATGTTAGAAGATTGATTCTGCAGGAGCAAGGAGCTGAGCAGGTCAAGAGGGTTGGGTGTCTGGGTGAAAGATGAGTTTTGAGTAAACTGAGGGTGGTTGCCAAGCACAGATCTGCAGAAGAGCATTCCAGACAGAAAGCAAAGGTCCTGAGGTGAGCTGAGCCTGGTATGGTGGAGGAACAGTCAGGAGGGAGCTGATGTGGGCTCAGCAGTGGTGGGTAGAACCATGTGGGCTGTGAGGAGTTCTTGGACCTGGTGGGAGCCCCGGGTGGCTGTGAGCTGAGGGACACCAGGGCCTGAGGTGCAGGGAGGTCAAGCCTTGGGAGACAGCAGGGAGGGAGCCCTGAGGCCTGGGCAGAGTGCTGGTCCCCAAGGTGAGTGATGCTGGGGCCTGGATCAGGGGGCAGAAGCAGAGGCAGAGAGAAGTGGGAGATTCTGGAGAGACTCTGAAGACAGTTGGATGTGGAGGAGGAGGAGCTGGGGGCAGAAACAGGACAGAGCTGCAGGGAAGATGGGTGGGGAGGCCCTGCCTGTGTGCGCCCAAACACCAGGAGCTCAGCTGTGGCTGTATTATCTTTGAGATGCCCATGAGATGCCCCCATGGGCACATGGCCTAGGCTTGAGGGTTGTCACATATGGTGATACTTATAGCTTCCAGAATGGAAGAGGATTTTGTCTGTTTTGCTGCCAGCTGTGTCCCCAGCCAATGCCTGGCACACAGCAGGTGCTCAATAAGTGCTTGTTGAACATAGGTACTCCAGCCCCTACTCAGCTGGGTCAGACGTGGGCTCTGCCTCCTGGGAACTTGGTCTGTCCCCTCCCAGCTGACCCGCTTTGCCCTGCACCTCAGGGAGGAGGTCCCCGTCAGCAACGTGGCGGAGCTGCTGCACCAGGTGTCCATGGGGATGAAGTATCTGGAAGAGAAGAACTTCGTGCACCGCGACCTGGCCGCGCGCAACGTCCTGCTGGTCAACCGGCACTATGCCAAGATCAGCGACTTCGGCCTCTCCAAGGCCCTGGGGGCAGATGACAGCTACTACACTGTGAGCCCCTACCCCATGGTCCCAGGCGGGTGGGCTGGCGGAGGGTCCCCGCGCCCTGTCCTAGCGCAGTGTCCCCCTTGCCAGGCGCGCTCAGCGGGGAAGTGGCCGCTCAAGTGGTACGCGCCTGAGTGCATCAACTTCCGCAAGTTCTCCAGCCGCAGCGACGTCTGGAGCTACGGGGTCACCATGTGGGAGGCCTTCTCCTATGGCCAGAAGCCCTACAAGGCAGGCTGGGCAGGGGCGGAAGGGGGCGGGCGGGGAGGGTCGGGACGAGGAGGCCCTGGTCACTTACCCGTGCTCTCCGCCCTGGCTGGCGCAGAAGATGAAGGGCCCCGAGGTCCTGGACTTCATCAAGCAGGGCAAGCGGATGGAGTGTCCCCCCGAGTGTCCGCCCGAAATGTACGCGCTCATGAGCGACTGCTGGATCTACGAGTGAGTGCCAGGGGCTGGGAGGGCACCTGGGATCGGGGACCTGGTTGGACCACTCCCTGGGCCTGGGGGGGGAGGTCCTGGGCCAATCAGTTAGTGTCACCACAACTCCACCCAAAGACCTTTCCCGGGCGATAGCCTTTCCCACACTCAGCGCCTTGGGTCCCCTGCGCCTGTGCACCGCTCTGGCCCTACCAGGCAGCAAGGGGGCCACACCCAACCCTTGCGCAGTGGACCCATCTCCCACCAGCCACCACGCCACCCGTCTGCACTGCTCCGGCGACCCCATAGTCACCCCACACATGCCAATACTCGGGGCGCAGAGAGATTCTCCAGGATCTAGTCCCTCCACCCCACCAGCCACCACCTACCACCTAGGCCACACCCAGGGACCCAAACACTCAGCATTGTCACCCCCATACAGAACATTCCAACTCCCCATCAGACAACAGCTAACACCCAAACTAGCTGATGCGCTGAGCTGGTCGTGCAACACGGGGACAATGGGACATTTGGTACCCTGCTGCCCACACTTGTGACATTCACTCTGGCACACTCACGATGTCCAACAGACCCGAGAGGCTTGGTCCACCCCTGCCCTCTCATGCATTAACTCAGCCTCCATCAGGAACCCCATAGGCCCCCAGGCCTCATGCATGGACAGCCGGAGGCCGGCCCTGTGGACTCACCCCAGACCCCGGACCTAGCTCACCAGTGGCCCGGCCCTCGGCAGCCCTGTACTTCTGCATCCAGTGCCCCTGCTCCCCTTGGTGCTCCGACATCCCTCAGCCCAGCCCATGTCCTGGCTCTGCAGCTCTCCTTCCAGGAGACATCCTGGTGACACATGAGTTCTAGTTCTCTGGCCCCCGAGACCCACTTCCAATAGCCCCACTCATTTTTGGAGCCCTGAGGCCCACCACAGCCAGCCCCAGGCACAACCACCGTCTGCCTGGAGTGGGGCTGAGTGTGGCCTGGATCTCCCCTGTGGCCCGCAGGTGGGAGGATCGTCCCAACTTCCAGATGGTGGAGCAGCGCATGCGAACCTACTACTATAGCTTGGCCAGTAAGGCCGAGGAGCCTGCGCAGAGTGGACGAGGGGTGGAGGCTCCGTGCGCCTGAGCCAGCCCAGCCCATCCTGTGGACCCCACCCCAGCTACCCGCCTCTGCCCTCAGCCATCCTAGGACCTGCAGGGTGCTGAGGCCAGCTCAGGTCCTCTCCCCAGACCAGCGTGGCTGTGGGAAGGGACATCAGGCCTCAGACCCCCTCAAATTCCCCACCCGGTCCCTGTACTGTTGGGCCAGGGAAGGAAGGGAGCCTGGGAGGTGGGTATGCAGCCTGGTCCTGGGCTGAGGGGCCACCCTCACCAGGGGGGCCGTCCTCGGGACCCTGAAGGGGGCTGGACTGTAATCACTGGAATAAACTCCTTTTCCCTTTTGCTCCAGTACCTTCATCTTTCCTGGGGGGAGGCCAGGAGACTGGAGAGGTTGTGGGTCATTGGAGGGAGTTAAGAAGTGTCCCAAAGCCAAGCCTGCGTGAGAGACTCAAAGAAGACAGGGCTGGTTTCCCACTTCTGCCCTTAGAGCATCCTCACCGATGCTCTAAGTAGACAGGCAGAGCCAGGTGGTGTGGGGCCTTCCCTGGATTGGCAGCAGGCGGTGGGGCAGGCTCCCTGGCCTTGGACATCCCATCACCTGGAGGGATTTTAACAAATAGCACCTCGCCCCAACCACTGTGGACAGGGTGTGTCTCCTGTCTCCTTGGGCGGTTCTGACACCAGCCCTGTGCCCTGGCTTCCACCTCCCTCCCTGGACCCAGGCAGCCACAGCTGGGGTCTTGCCCACCTGGTGCCCCTATGCCAGCTCAGCCCTGCCCCCTTTGCATTTCTTCTCTGGATGTGCCCCCAGCTGCTATTGGCTCCCCCGACAGCTCCCAGCCAGGGCCTCATTTCCTCTGCCCAGGTGCTTGGTTCAGGGGAGGGAGGTGCCCGCTCAGAGCCAATGAGAGGCCAGGAGATTTGCTGGGGATTCTGGGGAGACAAACTTCTTTTTACTCATGGTCTAGAGCCAGGCCATCTGGATGGCCTGTGGCCATTTTGAGGGGCCACGGGCTTGGGCCCTAGCTGTTGTGTGGAGCCCGAGCCCAGGTGGCGGGCTGACATCGGAGTATATGGTCGAACCAGGACACTGACTCTGAGAGTGCTGTGAACTCTGTGTTCTGATCCCACAATTTACTGTTCTGATCTCACCATTTACTGTTGAGTTTTAATATTTAAATGTAAACTTTAAAGAGCATATTTTTTTGCCTATCCTTTAATGAACTTTGTCATGACAGTTAATTTAGACAACCCCAGTAATATCACCAGTCAGACCCTGCTGGCTCGGCTCTGTGCTTTGGTTTTGAGAGTAGGTTTGTATCGTTGGGGATTGTTTGGGGGTCTCTAGCTCCCACCAGACTGTTGATAGATTAGATTCAAAACAGGTGAGAGCGCAGTAATTATAAAGACACGGAACTTGAATTTTTTTGTTTAAAGTTTTGTGTTTAAAATTTTCTTTAAAATTTAAAACAGTGGTGTCTTGAAACTAATGACAATTTTTTATAAATACATATATATATATATATAATGAACTGTATCACTGAATTTGAATTCTAAAGTGCAAACATTGTTTTTAAATTATTTAGAAACTGATGAATAAAGAAAACTTACATCCGTGGTGTAACTTAGTGGCTTCTTAAATTTTGCAATTTGCAGATTATTTTCAGTTTTATTAAAATTTACTTGTTACTGAACAATGAATGATGTTGTTACATAAAATATTACAGACAGTAAACACATTTTGATTTTATTTTATGGTTATCATTATTATTTGTTTTATTTCGTGATTATTGCTGAAAACAAAAAATTTTTAATAGGAAGGAGGTGTTATAGAATAATCCACTTGGTGTGAAATACCCAGGGAACGCTAATTGGTTCAATGGTGAATAACCGAAGAGAGAGGCGCAGTTCCACCAGTACGCCACCGGGCGGCACTGTTCCACAGCTAAGCCGGCTAGGCTGCTTGCACGTCGCCCTCACCTTTGCCGCTATCTCCGCACAATTCCCCGAGGCTAGGGCTGCTCTGGGAGGACCCTCCCTGTCGCCACCGGCTCCCAGGGCCCACTTCTTCCCTGTTCCCTTTCCCATCCTGGGCTCTGAGCTGCTCCCGCCTCAGGCGGCTTCTCTGGGTGTCACCCCGCCCCCATGCAGTGCTGCTGCTGCCTGCTGTCCCCAGCTCCGGCCTTCTCAACCCTTGGAGGAGAAGCTCCAGGCCTATGCTTCTCCCCAGTGGCCCTATCACTGTGGGTGATGCAACCATTCGAGGGGACACAGGGGCTGGGGCTGGTCACCAGGGAGCCAGCTGTGTCGGGTGGTGGCCTGTGCAGGACCAGGTGCTCTAGAGCTCCAGGTCGAGGTTCTGGAGGCTCAGCGGACACCAAGCTCTGGCTGTGACCCGTGCGGGGTCGCCCCTGGGGGCTGGTGCTATGGGTGGTCCCTGGGCTGGGCTGCTAGGGCTCAGGGGTGGATCTTGACTGCTGGGGGTCTGACTTCTGTGGCAACCCTGTTCTGGGTTCTGGGACGCCTGCTGGGCAGTTCTGGTTGCTGAGGGAGCTGGAGGCAGCCTGTGGGGTGGCATCTCCTGCAGGTCTGTGCCTGCGCAGGCCTGCGCCTGGCTCGCTGGAGTCGGGTTCTGCTTGCGGGCTGCCTTGGGGCAGAGTTAGCCCTGATGGTTGCTTCTGCCTCAGTTTCTGATTCCACTTTTGCTCCTGCGTGTGTGTGTGTGTATGTGTGTGTGTGTGTGTGTGTGTCCTGTGTCATGTGCCCCATGGCCCTGGACCTTGCTTGGACAGGAAAAAGTGGGACCTCCTGTCCCCCAAGATTGACCCTAGGAATGGAATCATCTTCTGCACAGAAGGGCTGGGTGTTGTGGCTGAGGCCTTCCGTGAACTCAAGGCTGAGCCCAGGGGAGTTGCCCAGGAGGCTTCAGGCACAGGTCCTAGCAGGTGCAAGGACACCCCTTGAGACCAAGAGGTTCGTGGCCATCAGGACAGGGGCCAGCTTTGCAGGTGCCTGCTGGGAGAGCTCTGGGTGGAGGTGGGAATGGACCCACTGTCTTGGGGGCACAGGAGGAGGCCAGTGTAGCTGTCTCCAGGCAGGAGCAGTGGGCAGAGGTGGGGCAGATATGCAGGGCAGGTGAGATGGGAGAATCAGGCTTTTGCTGGGAGCCCAGTGGGGACTGCTGGGTGGACCTGCATGGGCTGAGAGCACACACCGGCCAGGACCTGCTTGGGGACTTGCTGTGAGGGCAGCTGTCATCAGCCATGTCACGGGCACACTCTGAAGCTTCAGGGGAGCCTTCTTGTGGAGAGAGGGCAGGGTCTGGAGGCCCCACAGAGCTTCCTGAGAGCCTGTGGCCTTCAGAGGAACAGGCTGGCTTTCCCAGTGTGTCCTGGTCAGAGTGGGAATTTGAGTTCATGGGGTGCTGACATCCACCTGGACCTCCGTCTCCGCTTTGGTTCTGAGACCACATGACGCTTTCACCAAGTGTTGTGCTCCCAGGGCTATGGTGTGCCCATGGGAGAGAGGTGACCTGGGGGTACAGACCTAGAGGAATCAGCGTGGGCATGGTGGTGCCCACCAGGCCCTGGGGGCTGGAGGAGGCTCCTGTAGCTGAGGGGAACCCAGATGGGCTTTCTGTAGGAGGTCATGTCTAATCTGAGTGCTGAGGATGCAGGAGAGGAGGCGAGGAAGATGTCCAGGCTGAAGGGACAGAGGTGCGGGTGGACATCCTTTGGAAACTGGAAGGGGTTTCAAGGAGCTGGAAGGGTGTGTTTCAGGCAGGAGCCCCAGGCCACCAGAGGGCTCATGGGGAGGTTGGTGCAGGGGGGCAGGATTTGCCAGGGAGCACCGAGCACCCCACCCTTCATGCATGTGGTCCCATGACCCCAGGTGGGACATGATACTTTGCTGTGTGAATCAAGAATAGTTTCTGATTATCTTCTGTATTTAAGTAGCATCTGTGGTGATATTTCCATTTTCATTATGGATTTTTATAATTTGAGTTATTTCCCTCTCTTTTGGTTAGCTTGGCTAAGGGTTTGTCAATTTTATTTCTTTTGTGAAAAAACCAACTGAAAAAAATGATGATGATAATGATGACGGTGATGATTAGTAGTAGGGGATTGAACCCAGGGGCACTTGACCACTGAGCTACATCCCCAGTCCTTTTAAAATTTATGTTAAGACAGGGTCTTGCTAAGTTACTTAATGCCTCACTAAATTGCTGAAGCTGGCTTTGAACTCGCGATCCTCCTGCCTCCTGAGTTGCTGGGATTACAGGCGTGTGCCACTGCCCCTGGCTTGATAAAAAGAGATTCTTCATGAAAAATTAAGGGACCATTTTCACTGAGATTGTCAAAATAATCAATGAGAATATATGGTCACTGTCTATGCCCAACGTCCTTTCCATTTCTTCTTGAGCTCTGTGCTGAGTGTGAGAGCGAGGGTTGTTAAGCCTTGCCTCTGTTTGTGTTGCTTACCAAGTTGCCAGTGGGAGTTCAAAAGTTCTTTGCTTTCCTTCTCCCCAGTGTGAGGTAGGATGGGATGGCGGCTCTATCAGCAGGAGTTTGCACAGACAAGGTGGAGGCACATCCTAGGTGGCCACTGCAGAGTCTGGGGATGGAGCTCTGACAGGGGGTTAGGTCCAATCAGGACTCAGGGGCTTTGTTGGCTGGTGACTGCTCTGAGAGATTAGGTCACCCCTAGGGCCTGGCAATTGCCGATCTCTGCTGGAGTCTGGATCTCACAGGATTCTACTGGTAGGGATGCCCAACCCTTATCCCCCTCTGCTTGCCATGAACACAGCCTTCCCAGGCTTCCTAGGGTTATTCCTTGAGTGTATTTACACCCACCTCATCAAACTCCAGACCCACCTTCAGCTGGTCCTGTGAGCTGCCCGACTCACAGTGGGAAGTGAGCCAGGCTCCCCTTGGCTTTTCTGACTTGAATCCCCCTGGGTAAAATATTCTCTGTGCCTGTTTCAGTCTTATTCTGTTAGGTACCAACCAGGTCATGGGCAGGTGCTTGCCAGGACATGTAGCTGTCTTTGCTCAGATCTCCTGGCTCCTGCAGCAGCTGGGAAAGATGGTGAGGGTGCTTTTCATGCACCAGTGCACAGTGCAGCCTCTGCATCAGCTAAGGTCAGGCTGATTTCTGGTCTCAGGATTTTCTGGACTTAATCTATCTGTATTTCTCTGTGTCTTCCCTCCCTCTGCACTAAATGAGCACCGTGGTTGCTGCTGCCACAATCAGCTTGGTTCCAGTGTAGTGTTTTTTCTTTGTTTAATGGACCTAAATTTCTGAGTC